TTGGTCTGATACGCTTAGCAACGACCTACTGTGGTAGAGGACAATATAGTTTCCATGTGAAGAGGAAAATAAGACAAGGCGTAGGAGATTAACAAGAAATACATTGTGGAAATCATCAAACTGAATCACGAGTCATGCGTTAACTTGAATTTAGGAATGGAACTGAAAAATTCAAATATCAAGAAACACACTTTGTTGGAAATTAGAAACAGGTATCAAAAGAATGAGTACCAATTAGAAACAACTGGAAAGGATTATTCAAGACAGAGTTTTTTGAAGAATGCTTATAAGAGGTCCATGATTCTCCACAAGCAATAACAGCAGTAAGCATGTTTGATAATGAATTATATCAAGGATTCATTGGAAATATCACTATATTGTTCTCCTTTTCAAAATGTTTTTTTTTAAAAAGTCATTTAGTAATAAAGTTATAAGTTTAAATATAGCTGAAGTGAAATAACATTTTTTTATTCCCAAATTTATTTCACACTGAGAATATTATTGTATGGATTATGATACATGGATTATGAATATTGACAATTAATGTTTATGATATTTTCATTTAAATACCGATTTTGTTTAAAAATATGGTATAGTAAATGTTAGATAGCTGGAAAAAAAGATTTACATTCAATGAATCAAATATTTCCACTATGAATTCTGGATTCACTAGTGACCTAGTTATTAGACAAAATGGTGTCTTCAAATGATTTGTTGTTGTTTATTATTTTTTTTAGTATATAAAGCAAAAATCTATAAATGAATGAAAACATCGACAGAACAATTCACCTCTTTCAAAATTCTATTTCTAACATGTTGATAGTACAAAAAACAAAATTATGATTTGTTTATTTTCATGCAACAGTTTAATTAAGACTTGTTAATATTAGTGCTAGAATTTCTTTCGATTTCATGATGTATAAAATTAAACATTTTGAACATATTATGAGCAAATTAAAGTGTATACATTTTTATCTCTATGTGAATGGCTAAGTTATAGAATGTTATAGTGAATAAATCACGAGTAACTTCTGAGACATATTAACTGACTAATATTATCTATATATTCTTACGGTATAATTATTCCATAATTAGATTATGTATATTTATATTCCTCTTATTATAAGCTTCATTTTGACCTATAATTTATTGTTGTACGATTTACCGTTCTTAAGCCATGTTGAATTTATTGACTACTATCTCCCACGTTCACAGCCACTTTTTGGCTTTATTGTGTACAAATGTTATTTCCTATTTTATGGTCCGTTGCGGTCTGTTTGATTGATATATAAACCCAGTATGTCTGAAATAAAAGATTTGATTCGATTCATATTGCAAAAGCTGATGTTGTGTTCTGGACTCAAGCGGACGGGCTAGGCGGACATAAGACCAATAAGGACGCTCGCTAGACTGCTCATACCGGTCGAACGTCATTGGTTTTGTCATAGTGCGAAGATTTGTATAAGTCGCATTTTAATTGGTGGATAAATCACTTGACAAAAGCCGGACATAAAATCATAACATATAGTAGTTTAGATCTATTTATAAACAGTTATAAAGTAAACAAATACGTAATCCGACGGAATATCTTTGTTGACTTAATACATGTTAAACAATCTGAAGTTGATCCCTTGGGATCAAAGACATCCGTACTTTAAGAAATATTTATTATAAGCTGAGTTTGCTATCATGGATACAAGCTGATGATAGGTTCACTTTACAGCAGACGAAAATAAACGTCCATATAATCGACGAAACATGATTAGCATAGTTTAGATTGAAAGCTTGTTGATATTTTACAATTGCAAACAAACAGTTTCCTGTGGAATGTAATGAGGGAAATTGAATGAAACTCAAAAGTCCAAAAATTAATGATAACTTTTGACCGTTTCTAACATTTTTAACTACCATCGCAATTGTGAAGTCGTCATCCTTAAATAAGACCGGAATATCCTATCATTCATTAGAAAGACCTTTACGTTTATCACCGAAAACAGTCCTTTCGATTATTAACTTATGAATCAATAACTACAGAAAAAGTAGGATGACTGATAACAACATCTTAATCAACAACCGTGAATTTGTAGAGTTAGCACTCATGAAATGGACTATTAAAAGTTAGTATTATTTGGTCAGAGACGATCTGTAAAGAATTTGCAAGCGAATAATATCAGTTGTCAGTCACTAATAATAATCATTTATACAATTAATGACATATTGACTTCTGTTTTTCAAGTTTTTTGAACCTAGTCATTCTATAATAAATAAACCTAAATAACAGAAATCAACAAAATTCTTTTATAGTGTATTTTCAGATTATTTCTATCAACTTTTATAATCAAGTTCAATCCATGAAATTGGAATATAAAATATCAAAACTTATGCCTGATTATTAATTTTGTCGCATATAATGTGGTTGTATGGTTGGTATTTTCTAGAAGAATGACTTTTCGATATATACATGATATTGCATACGATGAAAATACTTATTGTTATAAGTTACTAACACTGAAATCCAATTGTTTGTATATAAAAAAATACAATAATTTCGAAGGTATATGATTGGAATTTCTCAGCTTTAGGTTATTTTTACCTTCAGGCAGTGCTGAAATTGTTGTTTTCTAACGATATTTCACGCACAAACTATATGCATACAATAATATTCATGTTATATTCTTTTACCATGACAATCATATGCTTTTGTTGTCATCCATTTTCATATAAAAAGCAGTTATGCAGTTTCATCAAACATAATCATTTTAATCTATAAACTAAATCAATTGGTATTGCTCGTTTCTAATTAAAAGAATAAATATCCGTAGACTCAAATAAACTAAAAAATAATTATTATTTTCCATAAGTTCGAACTGAATTGTTTTGCTTAGGAACAAACGACTAGAGCAAAGTTCACATGAAAAAGCCGATAAGAAAATTCTTTTTTCTACAAATGTATTTATAAATGTAACATCTTTCTTATGAGATTCTCAGTAGTAAAGATCTTGTAATAAAGGCATTTACAAGTTTAAATCTTTTTCATTATGATAGAATACAGGTCATTAAACTTGTATCGAACAGCTAAACAACTTACATCAAAAGACATTTGTGCAGACAAAAGTTAAGTCTGATTATTTTCAAGAGTTTGTCATTACAGTATACTCATAATTAAATATACCAGAGTAGGTATAATTGTACGCATCACCTTACATGTTAAAATGTTTATGAATGAATTTTTTTATCTTACGAAATCCCGATGAAAACTCATAGATAAAAATGAAACATTCTTGAGAATAAAAAAACCTAATTAAACTAGAGTCTTGTAAATTAATAAATAATGATAACTGAACAAGCGGTTTAGTTGAATGATGATGATTCTACAAGGGTGAAAGGAAAGCAATTAGGAGTTTTATACTCGAACACCCAATCGACTGTAGCCATTCTACAGATCCACAATTTGATTTTAAAGTTGTTTATATGATTCGTTCAAATCTACCCAGATTCCTTCGTATCCAACTCTTAAAAATAGCCGAAGCTCTTACCATCCAGGAGCTTAAACCACAACTATGCGTACAAAAGAAGTACTTCTTATCGTTATCGTTACCTTGGCCTTAATTATCATGATTATCCTATTATTATTATTACTGCATTCCCCCTTTGCTTATGTCTTATATTCTCATTATTTTATTCGTAAATACTCATCATATCACCTTAGTTATTATTTTTTACACCTCTTTTATAACAAAAACATTTTAATCATCTTATTATATTCACTAAATCTATTGTTATTATTCGTATTACGTAATCTAGTATTATAATCTTTTTATTACGACATGGTTAATTGTGTTCACATTTTCTCACGGAATTAGTACTTTTACAAAAACAAAATTTTCATATATATATACGATTGTACAGCTTGATAATAAATTCGTTGAAAAGAGGTCCCTTCTCTGAATTTCGTGTTTTAATTTTAATGTTTAAATGAGAATTATCTGTCGATTTTCATTGTGTTGTGGAAATTTTTAAACTTACAAGATAAAAAACAAAACAAGAATACCCATAGATATGGTTCATTTTAAACTCTTTTATATTGTTACATTAATTTAACTTAGTATACTCAACTAATTCATATATAATGATAAACAATAGGCATTCAATAGATTGAATTTACAATTTTATGTATTTTTGCAAAAATAAGTTTCAATTCAAAATCCATAACAGAAATATATTTTCTCAGTTTTTATCCATGGAACTAAAATGATTTACTTTCATTTTATTGATCAATAATATCACTTTTAATAAGTTTTTTTCTTCTTTGTATCATAACTTTTCACAACAACAAGGGCGGCCTGCTTGAGCATCTGGGCTAGCTGTTCCTGCCATCTAGATACTTCAACAAGTTATCTATTTTTGTTTGTTTTAATATATCATTATGTTTATTAATCGCATGATCTATTTTGCTGCGTTTCTGAAAAGTGTACAACCTTTCGTTGTCAAAGTTACAAAAAACTCAATAAGAGCCAATGTGGTTGCTGGCTATATTCAGCGAAAAGAATGCACATTATTCAAATGTTCATTCAGTGAACTGCTAACATCTAACTGGCGATCATTCGGTATTTATCGCCAGAACCGACCAAGAAGAAAGAAACGGAAACTTGTTGAAATACTTTACGCTGAGAATTCTATATTGTACCAAAAATATAATATTGAATAAAGCTGATGATAATAATAATTACTATTATTATGAATTAATATAGGAGGGGGGGTTAGTTATTTGAAAGAGAAAGCAACTTTTAGAGTAATACAATCAAATATACAATTTACGAATGCAAAAACATGTAACTATACAATTAATGAAAGTTGAAAAGTTTATCATGAAACACACTTTAGTTTTTACAACAACAAAAAAAGAATGCTGTGAACAATAGAAAGTTGTTATGCAATTTTTCTCTTAAAAATTATAATATTCTGATAAACGTATAGATCTTTAAAGAGGAATAATGTATTTGTAAAATCTCAGCGAAAGAATTAGAATTAAATCCAACATTTCATCTGGCAATCTGGTTCAAGTTTTTCAAGGAAAAAAAATATATAGATCTTTGTATTTATAAATTAATTTCATTATTTAACTTGAATATAAAAATCCACAACATATTAACATAGATTGTCGAAATATAATACATATGGAATAACTTAATTGTTTTATAAATATCCAATACCACCAATTAGTTGTAACTTTGGTAAATTGTACTAGATTACAAATTTCATTAACTGTTTTATTTTCATGAATAAAATTAGTTTGACTATTAACAATAGTACTAGTGTTTTGAACTAAAATTTCATAAGTAACATCATGAGAACTATTAATACTGTTAATAGTACTTTTGTTAGTCATATTATGACTATTTAAATAGTTAATAGAACAATTCAAATAGAATTATCCTCTAAACTCAACAATTGTGGATTAAAAAATTTCATTAATAATAAACAAATTTCATTGGTAATTAAATTAACTATTAAATTAGTAAAAAATTTAGGTTTAGTAATTCGATGTAAAAAGCATTTTATCATAATTAATGGAATGCATATTATCTCAATACAATTTTCTATTACTTCTATGCATAGTGTAAAAAGAATGAAGTATTTCAAAAATAATTCTTGATGAGATACATAACGATACTGATTAATCATATAAGATTGGTGTATAGTATGAGTTGACAATGAATTATGTACAATGGATGTATTTAAAAAAGAAGAGTTAATATCAAAATCTTTGGTATATACATTTGTGAATTTTAATAAAATTTCAATAATTTGCATTAAATTAAAACATATTGAACCAGTTAATTGAAAGAGAAGTGGAAAATAAAGTAAATTTGATTTTAACCAATTGAGATAATTTGAAAATTTATGAGAATAAATATAACCTGGATTTGAATGTTTATCATAAGTTGAAGAATAAACTAATAAAATGTTTTGTGAGATTGTAAATACTAAAATTAGAAAATAACTAAAATAACACAGAAGTATTCGTGGAAATTCATTCAGCCTATAAGTAAACAAATGTATGATACAAATGATTACTGAAAAAAAACTGAGTAACCCACAGATGTAAGATTTCCTTTCATAACGACAATAAAAGTTGTTACTATAATTTGATACTGATCGCGAAATTCGAGAAATTGTTGAATTTTTATGATGGATAGGAGATGATGAATTGCTTTCTTTAGCCCAATGGACAAGACGTTTTTTCCTAAGTATATTTTCAGAATTTTCAAGATTTTTTATTAGTTTTCGTACGTTCCAACTGATCCAGATCAAAACTGTTTCATTGAAACAGTTAGTTCATCAGAAAATGCAAGAAAAAAATATTTTTTATTAATAATTGCAAAATCTACGGTGATACTATAATTCATACACGAACCAATCAGTTATAAAATAACGGGTCTCGGATTTTAGCGCGAAACTCACTCATCCATTTGGCTAAATAGAGTTTTGGCATTATAGCTGATGTCAGTTCGTGATGAAAACCCTAAATGTAACCATAATCATCAACTTTAAATCATAATTCGAATTCCTCACACTGGTTTATAACCCTCATTTGGTCGTAGTTATTAGGTCACTTTAGCGTCCCTAAAAGTCGTCCATGAATTATAACCTCACCAAATATACATCTTCTCTAGTCAACAAATATTCTCACTTTATGTAAAATAAAGAAATTCATTTTAGACTACTTTCAAAACAGTGAAAGTACTTGTAACATGAACATTTTTTTGACAAGCAACACTACCCATTCCATGTTTATTTTGTTTTTTTTTCGGTCAGTCGAAAAATGTTACCATTAGATTGAAACTCATTTTATCTAGTGACGTTGAAAAGATAATCGTTTAGTTATTCTGAAACCAATTACCTTTCTAGTAAAATGATTCTTACGAAGAGGATTCTTTTTATTTTGTTTTTTAGAAATATAAATGAAAAATTGTTTCACAAAATTGTTCAAAATATCTCATTTTATCAACAACAATTATCTTTAAAGGAGACTATGAAAATGGTGTGAGAATTAAAATTTCATGAATAACCTTATTTCCGAAAAGTAAAGATAGAATGTAAAATAAACTCATTTTCAAAATTTCTTTTTAATTCAACTCCTGTAGTGTGAGAAGGTCATACAACCTATTGATATATAATTGGTTGGGACAACTGTGTTTATTATTTATCCAATGGATATAATTTTGAACATTCTTTTAACTAAAACAAAAATTAATATATTATTCAAGCAACAAATAACCTTGAGATCCACCATTTTTATTCAACAGAGATTTATCATTGTTTAGTTGGTGTAAATATGATTTAACAGTAATCATAATTATAGTTTTTTAGGTACTATCAGCTAACCTGAAGATTCATGGCATTGGCAGATCATTTTTTCATGCACTGGTCACTACATAGAAAATGCATCACAATTTTTTTACAGAAATATACTGATCATTTTGTTTAAAAAATTAAAAAAGGTTGTTGAACATGAGTATTACATGGCAGCAAGTCTGAAATATCACTATTTGAAACGTAACTTTTACTTGTTCTAGTGGAACAAAATTAATGTTTCACCATTATTAATGTTATATCTAGAGGTTGGATTCTTAATATACCGCGTACAACTAGAGCACTCGAATGCCAGAACCTTCCAAATTGCAAATGAGAAGACAGAAGACAAGTGAAAGGAATGCTATTTCAGTGTCAAATATGGCACAAAACTGTCAGATATTTATAGTTTTTTTAGTAAAACGAAATCATCATTATAGTCATCCAATCCGCATACAGGGGGTTTTAGCATTTGCCCAACAGGGAAGCTACACATGGAGATTCCGGAATATTCTTCCAAAAGATGATTGGATGAAATATCTTCGGCTGTTTCTGAGCTTCTTGGAGCTTCCTTGAGTTCACTCGTGTGCCGTCCTCAAAAATTACTTCAAAGATACTAAATTGTAATAAAACTCATTTAAAAAACGTTTTTTCTAGATGCATAATAAATTTTGGACTTACCTACAACTAGAAGATGTGAGCAAGCGACACAATTTAGAAGATAGGCTACTGGACTTTGTATAACCTTCAAAACTAACAGTCTATTAAAGTTACCTGAAAGTAGACAACAGTTTAATTCCACATACATAATAATAACACTTTAATATATGTATATACAAAAATAACAAAAAGTTCAATATTTCAACACTACAAATTCTATTTTGTCAAAACGGCTTATTTAGTAATTCGGATACTTAAACTTTGTTAACAAGCAAGCTAGAACAAACATTTTTGTCTGTTGTTTTTGTTTTCAAATGAATCGTCGTCTATTAAATTCAAAATAGGTTTTTAAAAAATTACAAATTCGAAAACAATTTGGAAAATAGATTTCTCGCATTCATATCTTATACCTTTCAAGTCACATGTAGATGGCTAATTAAAGATTCTGACCATAAAATCCACATGAAAATTATTGTTCACATTAGTGATCACAAATAAAACAAACGCAATAAAGATGCATCATCAGCATCGTAAGTTTTCCGTGGATATTTAGAAGTAACTTTAAACAAACGAAGGCGAACACTTTTGCTGTCCAAGGAACATTAATGTGTGAAAGATATTATTTTATCATAAATATTGATTACATATTTTTTTCAGAAACGTTAAACACAAAATTCGTAGAATATCCTTTCTTGTATGCTCAGCAACGTAGTCATATATTTTTATGACACCATTTAATGAACGGTGAAGCCTCAAGAGAAAAGATATGTCAAAATATCCTTTCTGTGATATTACAACGCAGTTATGCTACGAAACTATTACTCATGGTCTAATTAGCTTTAAACCCACAGTAATCATGTTTTATTGATATCGTGAACCGGTCCTTGTTAAAACACACTTGAGAACCTAAAACTTTTGGACGGCCGTTTTGTCCTAGTATGGGACTCCCCTTCAATGCTCACCCACGACCCTGCACACAGGACTCGAACCTAGGACCTTCGATCACTTCAACCTAATGGTCTAAAGTTTAGGCGTTTTCGAAAAAATAAATTAGTCAGTCCATGATCTCCATAAAAAACCAACGATTTTCACAAACCTGGACTGATATTAATAATGCTCTTTAACATTGTTTCAACATTCAGTTGACTGCATTAATCAATGGAATGCTGTCCTATTTATTAGGTGCTGGTGTGTGTGGAACTTAATATCGTAATGAAGTAATTTCGTTTATATTTGACTTCTGTCTGGAGAATTTAGAAACCACTGAAACATAAACAGTTTAGACTTAGCTTCCATTTTGTATCGAAATGTACATTTGATGATATAACCGGATGAATTGGTTTGTCTTGTTTATCCCTAATGTTCAACATTGTAACTGAACTATCGTCCATTTATTTCCTTTTTCTACAATAAAGATAACTCTTATCATTTAAGATTTTATCCTTAAAGTGTAATATAAAATGATAAGTCAAGTGGCCTAGACGAATAAAATAATTTGTTTATTTTGCTATTATTTGGAATATATGTCACGGGTAGGACCATACAGATTTCAGATGCAAGGCAATTTTCAGCAGAAAGTGACGCTAATCGTTCCATTTGTTTGCAGGTCAACACAAATGGGTAAGAAATATTTCTAATAATTTATAAGCTCTTAGTTAGCTTTCATTTGAACAACTCATCTTTTTCAAGAAACTTTATAATATTGATAAACTAAATTGCACTCCACTATTATTAAATGAGAAACATATAGAAATTGGTTCTTGTTCTTAATTAGCTGATTTACTAAAATGCAAGAATCATATAGGTTTTAGCGACTTAAAAACGTAAGTCTACAGAACTAAAGAAAGATAATTAGTTTTGAAACGTTACAGGTAGGTCGATAACGAAATTATTTATTACAATGAATTAGAATTTAAACTTGAGTAAATTGGATTGGACCATGAGGGATATAATTCATTCTTTAGGATATACAATCAATGCTCTTTTCTTTAAGTTCGTATTCCCAATAGAAATGAAAATATTAATTGGCGGTTACCTTTTAAAGTCGAGACATATAAATCGTTTTATTCAGAAGTTTCAAACAAAATATACCCACATCTATTCTGGCGGCTATAATTTGAATCAGACTCACTACTTAAGCCTTCAAATAATAGATCATATATTAGGCTACAGAGATAGAAAAACCTCGATCACTAAAGACTATAATCTTGTTTCGTCAACTTGTAAGACTGAGTCATTAAGATCCTATAAATGTCAAAATGTCATACTAAGATGTTTCTATGCTGTCTTTAACAAAATATTGATTGTTTCAATGGATAACTAAAGAAAAATTCAGGATCTTAAAATTGTTTATAACTTTGTTCCTTAACCATTCAGCATAGAATGCAACCCAAATATTTGGCTAACAGCAGATAGTGTCAAATTCTAGAAAACACTCTAAACACTTAACTAAAATTTGAACAGTCTAGTAATAAAGATATATGGTTTGATTTCAAAATGAATATTTAATGGAGTCGAAACAACAATTTCGTAGTTTACTAAATGTTTGTTTGATATTTCAAAGCAGTTAAAATTAATGGAGTCATAGACTAACACGATATACCTTTAATTTCATATGTTTTGTTTAACTTATATTCATGATAGTAGCTGAGGTAATTTTCCGTTCCTATATATGCCATGCGGAACCAACTGGTTAGATTGGCGGCAATAACGTGTACAAACAGCAATCCATTGTACATTCTCAACATTTTTGGAAAAATCTAGAATTAAAAACAGTAGACGGAATGAAATAACACACAACATGAGATAAAAAACCCTTCATTTGACTTTTTATATAAAAAGTAAATTACACCACATAAACACACTTTCTGTTGGATTTTATAGTGCTAGATTATACGGAATACACCCATCAAGACGTAAAATAAGAAAAATTGATTCAGCGAAGAGTTCTCTTTTCGATAAATTTACTTTCAAAGCTGTACAACCGCAAAAGATATTAGTACAACCTCTTCTTCTGCTATGGTCTTAATGTCTTATAATCTTTTTTCTTCATACTCTTCTTCCTCAATAGCTATCTGCTTCTACATCCATCTTCTACCACTAACTGGTTTATTTCTATTTCTATGATCCGCCTGATTTCAACTTCAAAATTTTATTTTATCATGCTGAGCCATCAGTTCCCAATGATAATATCACTATCTATCTTTTGATGAATATTTAAGCCATTAACAAACTATTATTAGTTTCCTCGTTTAAAAATCTTTTTATTACATCTGTTTATTCTACCTCACTGTCATCATATCTAACAGGAGTTTATCATTATTATTATTGTGGTTATTATTATTCTGTAAAAATAAGTATACATATTTGCGATTGTACAGCTTTGAAAATGAATTCGCCGAAAAGAGAACTCTTCGCTGAACCAAGCTTTCTTATTTGATGTCTAGATTAAACTGTCTGAAACAAACAACGAAATAATACAAAAATGAGCAAAATATACATTGTGTAAGCTAAGCGTATGTGTTTTAACCACATATTAGCCCTTGAAGTGGAAATAACATATTTACATTATTTGGCTTTGACAGGTCGTTTCTCGTTAAAAAGCTTATTGACTTACCTCAGAGATATTTTTTGCTGAGTAGTATACATTATTGACACTATATGTGGAGGAAACAAACAGACATAGTGAGGAGCACTTCGAATCATATTGAGACATTACAAACAGTTAGCTGACTTCTATTGAAATGATATTTAGAGTGAGCGGAAAAACCAATCTCCCAAACTCCTACTGAACCCTATTTTTAGAGTGATGATCCTCTGATTACTTACCATATAGTCCCTCAATTATCACAACAGAAATAATTTTATCTGTAAAACCTGTATAACATTTAAGTCCGTTCCTTTTTATTGGAATATTTGGCATTCCATAAAAGTTCACATGTTCTAGGTATGCTTTTAATTATTCATCTAAGGAAATTGGAGAGGTATTTTATGGCTGTGAATAATTTTTTATGTAACACCTATTAAAATCATGTAACCATACAGATTGTAGTAAAATTGTGTTGATCAGTGTCAACAACATTTTTTGACAATCACTTCAATTTAGCTACTTTTAGTATCATTACTATTAATAATTATTTCACGCACTTAGTTCCCTTTATGAATCTATTTAAACAACCATAAATTTAGATAATATAAATAAAAGACGGAGTTTATCAGAACTGTGATATATTAGTGCAATAAATTTCAAATAATCAGATCACTCATTTACTGATTAGGACATTTACATATGCAAATTAAGAGGTCAAACTAGACAAATTGGAAGACAAGAAGAAAGAATAAGTATTATGGAAAACGATATGAATCACACGACTTTGGATAATATTTCTGTACTATTGGGGTACTTCCAGGATGTTTTCACCAATTATTGAACTTAGAAGGATATCTAAGTTACCTCGACATCTCGGTTAAAAGTCTTAGTCATTAGTATTGAACATATGTACATTGGGAAGACTAAATGTAATAAGTTCGTGATGGTGGCTGAACAAATATCTAAATGGCCCAAATACTAAGTGAATTTCAATGATTTAAGAGTACATGACAAACGAAATATCTTCCGCCGTTACTTGGCAATTCAGCTGAGACAGAAAATGGGCTTGATTTCAAAGCAGTCTTTTGGGCGCTGTATCGAAATACCCGGGGAAAAACATATAAGTTTTGTTATATGAACATTCATACTCCAGAGTATTCAGAAACATCTATTTCTCACCTTGAATCCACTTTGATAATACAGAATTATTATCCAAAGTCGTGTGATTCATATCGTTTTCCATAATACTTATTCTTTCTTCTTGTCTTCCAATTTGTCTAGTTTGACCTCTTAATTTGCATATGTAAATGTCCTAATCAGTAAATGAGTGATCTGATTATTTGAAATTTATTGCACTAACATATCACAGTTCTCATAAACTTTGCCTTTATTGAATTATTTCAGTTGTTATTATAAGGCACAATTTTAGTGTAGTTACGGTTCTTCAGAATCCCTGAGAATCAGTTTGTAAACTAATTTAAATCGCGGTGTTCGTTTCAATTAATATCTTAAACAACTGTCCCATTAAGTCACATATTTGGAATAGTATAACACTAAATAATTTTATTCATTGTTTGTATGACTTACCTTTTTTAGTTGAATCATCATTGGTATTTGTATGACAAGTAAAAGAACCCATAATACATTATTAATTAATCTTAACCAATTTATGTAAGTGATCTGATGAAAATCATGGTTTTCATATGAATTGTCAGCTGTTACATTTGTCTTATTATTGATACTGTGTAATTAAAAAAAATAACATAACTATAATTCCGATTAATAATGTACGAGTTACTTGTAGGCATTATTGAACTATTAGTTATTAAGGGATGCTGAAGAGAGATATTGTTATCTGCAAAAATAGTGGTTTTTCTTTCTAATAGATATTTTCCTCATCCACATGGTGATGATCAACATTCTCATTGATAAAATGGCTGTTATTATTTTCTCTTAAATTTGCATGATTTGAAGAGTACCAGATACCCCAATCGGTAGTGGATGATTTAATTAGTCTGTCTCCATAATACATGATGCTTATTAGGCTCCCAACTAAAATGAATCAAATTTAAAATGAAATATTTAAAAAACGCCAGAGAATATTAAAACAAATATGTCATTTGTATAGATTTGCATCAACTGATATAAAAAAAAATACTTTAAAATCGTTAGAAAATATTCAGTGGATAGACTGATTACACAAGTACTGTTTGACCTCCTGTGCGAAATTTATCGTATTCTAAAGAAAAATTGAAAGTTCGACGATCCATAAGTTTCTAGGTGCTTTGTGCTCGAACACTATTCTTTATTCAACTTTCAATATGTTCTTGTTTATATCATGTTAATATATGGTAACGAACGCCTCACCATATGTGATTCAGAACTGCGAATCCTACCATTTATATGGTTTTTAATTGAGTTATGATTTAAAGATAGTTTCGTCTACAAAAATTCATAATTTAAAAAGTTATAGCAATAACCATAAAATCGAGTAACTTACCACAAAAGAATCCTAGAAAAATGTATTCACATTGTAAAATTATCCTGGAATGGGTTTGAACATTTTTCATACCTTTTAAATATGTAGTTAATCTTTTCGTTTGATTAGCGTTATGAAACTGTGACCTTAAGTCTTTTGCATTACCGATGGTCACAAGCTGATGATACCGCATACTATCAGGCCGAGAAATTAAAATTTGTCTTTTAGGAGATGGCAGTTTCTTACTTTGATGTTTGATATCTACTTGGCTGTTGTCATTGTCCACAATCTGATTTTTTCGCTTATGATAAGCCTTAAAATGGTTCCGTCTCCGAGTGAATAACTGGTCGGTTACACGACTTCGACGATAAGGAAAGTAATGTGAATGTTGAAGTTATTATCCATCAAACAGCAGCCACAAAAGGAACGGAAAGCGTTGAAATACATCGTAAAATAGAAGCTCAAAAAATGTAAAAGTTGTCCAATTAATAAAAAGTTGAGGAAGACCTAAATGGTATTAAAAATAAACAAACAAAATATATCCATAAAATACTTTACGTTTCCAAAAACTTGGTCAGATCTCTTTTCTAATAGTGCACTTCACTAATCTGTTCAAACTCTGACTGATAAGAAGGTTGGTAGGTCTTTTATCAAGACTGTTTATCATCTTTTAAGGAAAACAGCGACTGAGCATACAACCACTAAATACGATACTGAGATCATGAGGTGTAAAATGATAGGGCAACTAAAGACTCTGACTTCCAAAGACTGTTGGAAATATCTAGAACAGTAATTCTGAAAATGGAATAGATGTAGTATCATAAGTATGACGTACAAGTAAAGGTGGGAGATTTGTGTACCCGATATTTCGTAAAACTGAAATTTTATGACCTTAATTAGCCTATATGTTGAACGAGGTATTATTTTTATGAAATAATACTGTACACAATGAATAATGTTTTCTGGTCAAAAAATACTGACAATGATTTTTATGCTTCCAGTTTTTTAAATTGATATAACTAATGCAACTAATGTAGTGCTTTATGAAAAGCATCACTCGTAAAAATATTTTAATTAACTGAAGTAAATTACATTTATTTAATTTCGTATTGAAAATTAAACCAATCAATCTGAAATATTCATAGAAACCAGTCTATACGAAATAATAATTTGAATGTTAGAAAAAAGCAAATCTTCTATAATCTTCTTTGATATACTATTGTTCACTATTTAGTCCACGGTAAATTTGAAATTCGATCAAAATTATCACTAATTTCATTTATATTTCTATTGTGGTTTTATTGTACTTTATTTCATCACAATAGTAGAGAATCATTCTCTGGACTATATGCAACTGTTTTGTTAATAGTTATAAATGGAATAAGGAGAGAATTATATTGGTAAAATGTTCTCTCACGTAAACATCATTTAAAATATAAAACCATAGTTTCATCTAAACATTATATGTCTTTATTTAACACAACCGATGTTTAACCAGGTCTAGTGAAATAAATCTTTCGATTTTAAACAGTTAATCTACTGGTTTTTATTCACTGTAAGTGGTCAGCAAATCATTTATAGCAGATGGAAGTATTCTTGTTTTCAAAAAAATGCATACGATATGAAAGTCGTGAAATTAGTCGTCCTTCTCCAATAAATATCTAAAGATGTTTGCAATGAATAGAATTAAATTTAAGTTATCTGTCATAATTTTTTTCATATTATGTTTCTGATAACATCAGTTTCCAGAATTCATTGACATGTTGTTTTCTAGAAGCCAACCCAATCTTCAGTGTAGTATAAGACTAAAGCATCTGAACATAGTTTAAGAAATGTTTATGTAAATAGCGTATCAAAATTGCAATTAATTTTATGTAGGATTACAAAAACATATAGTTGGAACAAATATAACTCACTTCTAAAAAAATTGATTCTGAATTCTTTCCATTGGACTGTATGCACACTAACAGAAACCCCACAGTGGTCAGCAAAATCCCATATATTATTTTTATGATTTTGCTGACATATTTACTATGTTATTGGAACAACAAGAATATATAGACAAATTATCAGTAGTTTGATCTCAATATTTTATAAAGATAATATTTCTTACAACATAAAAGACCTCTCGCTAATAACTGGCAAAAAATTAAGCGGTAAGTGAAGAATTCAATAATGTTTCTAAGTGACATGAAGTCTTATTTATTCATGCTGGAGCACATAAAGTAGACGTTTAATAAATGAAGCGAAACAAATGGGAATGTTTCATTAGCCAAATGTGTTTGACGTTTAGTAAGTGGGTCAGTTAATACATTTGACAGCTCCGAATATTATTATGACTGAAATTATGATAATGAACTTCCTAAAAACATAGTGCTCCAACGAAATTTCTTTCGTTTCAATATAACTAACATTATATTTTGCAAAACTGGACTAAACAGCTGTTATCATTACTTATCAGCTATCATAAAAGTAAGGAACGCAACAGTATGCTTAGTTGGTTAGGCTGAAGAAGAATAAACTTCGATCATGAGCAATCTGTTCTCTTGATAATAGGAGATCATGGGCGATGTGAAGTCACTTAATAATGGGATCAATCCTTGGTTGAAGCTTGACTTGATGAACAAATAATTTCATCATGTTTCTTGAGAAAAATTATGATGCTAGGACTTCTTTATTTGCATATTTTACCTTTCTTGTTAAAGCGTATATATATATATATATATATATATATATATATATATATATATATATTTACTGCTTAATAATTATACTAGAATTCTAAAAGAAGTTAAATAATGTAACATTTCAAAATGGCACAATAATAGAAAATCATGGAGTTCATTTTCCTACTTGGACGTCAGCTTAGTGGTCTAGAAGTTAAAAACATACGAAATCAAAGATCCTGAGTTCGATTCCCGCGTGAGGTGTTGTAGGCCTGAACTGCTAAAAAGTCCCATACAAGGACGAAATGGGCGTCCAGAGCCTCTCGAATTTCAAAGGTGGTCTAACAATGATCGGTTCAAAATTTTAGTGGAATTCAACAATCTCCACAACCCTATACTTACAATAATTACGCTAACATTTTTATTTGTAGATGGATTTGATGGTCAAAGATATTCATTGCTAATTTATCACTGTGTTCAAGAGTAACAAACAAGGTACATTACTGATGAGAAAGTAAAATATCAAGTGGAAACATTGTGATTTAGAAAATGAAACGTTAAAGTATGTCAAAGTTTTCAATACTTTCCGTCTGCATATCAGATTTAGTGGTTATTATCATAAATTTCAAACCATCCCGCTAACCTCGCATCAGAAGCTTACGCTTATTACTCGAGACTCAGGTTTGCTGCCGAAAAAAATTGTTTTAACCAAACTGCTTTTGGAATTATACCATGTTATCTCTTCACTTGTTCTCAGAAAAAAGTTGGTCATGTGTATAGAGAACTACAGTTTTAAAGCAAACGATAAACTTAGATTTAAGCAACAAGAATTTTTAAAAAATGTTCATAGCGAAAAAACGACCAACTATTCATTTATCGACGAGACTGACTTTATATCAGCAACAATGATATTGATAACTAAAGATTAATGCATTTTGTTCATTATCACTAATGGGTTGGGATTTTATGGTTACAAAGTAATTTATCCTCTTAGAGAAGTGAAATTTTTGGACTTGATGCAAACTGAACTCATGGGAGCTGACTAGCGAAAAGCCTTATTCTAAATAGAAATATCTGTTTAATTTTCTGTAAACCTCCCACTCGTGTCACGTTTTGGTCAAAGCTGTTTCGGAAAAACTACATAACTCATCACGAAAGAGTACATTTTACAGTTGGCATCACAAACTGATCATAAATAAACAACTACTAGACATCTGATTCGTCCTAGTATGTGATTCTTTAGCAGTTCTCATCAACAAACCCATCGATAGTCGATACCAGGACTTTTGGGTTCCTCAGCTAACACTTAACGTTCTGACCATTAAGGCGACATTCAATGATTTGTATGTCTAAATGCAATCAGTCCACAGTATTTCACGACAATCTCCTAATATCATTAAGACAACTGTTTCATACTTAACATTGTTAAACTCCATTGGTCGAAAGTTCTAACTAGAACTCCATGAGTTATTTATCAAAGTTAATAAGGGGATAAGTTATTTAAATCTTTTATGATAGGCTACATTTTTGTCCTACATTAAAATTCGTTATAACGAACAGCCAAGTAACCGATATTAAATTTGCTGAATTCCTTGAGCATTTAAATGACCTTGGGATATTATCACATGACAACGTATGTAAATGACAGCTAACATTTCTATTTATTGAAAAAAAAACGCTGTAAATCATTCTAAGACATTTCAAACTTTTCTGTTCTCTCTTCTCACAATGTACAGTGTCTTTTTTTTAGAAAAGCGTAATTTTCGACATCGTTTTTATTATATCATAAATAAATAACCTGTTTATTTCTTATCTAAAGTTAACTTTAGTCGTAATGTTATACTTAATATTTTTAGAAAATATGATAACACTATTATTAACAACAACATCGATGATAATAATTCATAGCTTTTTTTCTGCCCTGAATAAATAATATAATTAAAAAAATTTTTCTTAGAAATTTAATTCATTGTAATAAGTTAAATTAACTAAAATAAATCCCAATAGTTGAAATCATGAGTCAATTGAAGCTAAACAACCATGGAAAACCTGGAAGCACTGGACGACCGTTTCGTCCTATTGTAGGATTCTTCAGCAATGCGCATCCACGATCCTGCCTCGCGAGATTTCAACCAGGACCTATCAGTCTTGTGCTCGTGCGCTTAACCACTAGACCACTCAGCCAGTCGGCATTCAACGGTGTTAATGTCTAGCTTCAATTGACTCATGATCTCAACAACTGAAATCTCCAGAAAACCCCTTCTGATACTAAAATAAATTTGTTTATAAATTGATTTATTTTTTTTCTACGTTTGAAAAAAAGTTAATAAGTGTTAAAATTTAAAGAAATCAACAAAGCATGTGAATAAAATTATTTTATCTATATATTTGTTTTTATTTATCTCATAGATAACCAATTATTTTCTAAGAGAAATAACTATTTATATTTTTAATTTTAAAAATATTTTAATAAATTTATAGTAAATAATACATATATTTTTGCATACATGTTTATGATAACCTAGTTATGAGACAATGTCTCTCGGGCGCGAGACTGATAGGTCCTGGGTTCGAATCTCGCGGGGGGCATGATCGTGGATGCGAACTGCTGAGGAGTCCTGCAATAGAAAAAACGGTCGTCTAGTGCTTCCAGGTTTTCCATGGTTGTCTAGCTTCAATTGACTCATGATTTCAACTATTGAAACCTAAATATAGGTTCATCTTATACGGTAACTTCTTGGTATTATACAGTCAAAAGAAAATATCTAAAAGGCTGTTATACAATTTTAAATTTCCCATCAAGAGATAAGTAGAGAAAATTATTAAAGTATATTTCTTTCCGTCATTCAGGTATATTTAAATGAAAGTAACTTCATTGACTAACAGAAAACCCATATATTTGTAGTTTTTATTATCAGATAATTTTCTAGAACATTTCATATCGCTTTAACATAATGTAAATATCATTTAAATAATCTTCGTCTGCTTATTACATTATCGAAATTTAAATAATAATCGTGAAAAGATATTTAAGTCTTTCTAATTATTTGTTTAATATATAAGTCTATTCAAATGGATTATCTTAAATGTTGTTGAAATAATTAATTTTAGGCATTTCGATAATGCAATGAGAAGATGAAGTTTATCAGAATTAACTGAAATATTTGCGCAATACATTTCGAACAAACTGATCACACTTCTACACTTGTTAAAACATTTTTATGTAAAAATTAAAAGGTCAACTAGACAGGTTAAAGGTAAGCCGTAATAAAGAAAAAATAATATAAAAGTACACGAAAGCAATGTGATTATCACTCTGGATAATAAATCAGTATTACTAGGGCAGGTTAAGTGTAAGGACAAATTGTTTTCGAAGGGGGTTTCAGTTTCCGTATAGCCAAGGCTTCAATAAACCTTAGTATAAGTCCTTGAAGGTTTTTGTATAACACTACAAATGCTGAGTTCAAGTCAGACCTTTTAATTTTCATATAAAAATGTTTTAACAAGTATAGATGTGTGGTCAGCCAACAGATATAAGAAAGTTGTGTCATCCTCAATATATTGTTTTCACTATGATGACTTTATGAATCCCGGAGGAAACAAAACGATAACTAGTATTAAACAGCATTGTGTAGCATAACAGTTATTGGATAGCCAGGATGTGGACCTAATGCTTTGTTATTTAAAACTGTCAGAAAGAATATATTTAAAAAATTAGTAGAATTTCCGGAAATTACTTAGTGACTTATCGCGACACAAGTTTAGTCTTTATTATAATGCTTTATTGTTTTATACTGTGTGAATGATAGCACTCTTGAACTAACGATATGGTATAATTTAAAGAAATTCTTTTCATTGCTATTGAAATTAAGATAACGATCATAGCTCCTTCAAGCTGCTGGTACAGTATGATATGCGATTAAGCTCTTCATTTATGTTTTAAAGCTCTATAAGGTCGATTTGACCAGGCCCATTTTTATCTCTTGGTAATAAATACCCCAGTCGTAATTTCTGTGATATCAAACTGATGTTTCGTTTTAAGCTAAAAAAAAACTGTTAAATGTGTGGTTCTCCATCGAAATTTGTACTGGACTATCCTTTCCAGTTGTTACCGATTGCCTTTGATCTTTTGAATTTTGCTTTCGATTCTCTGCACAATGTGTCCCTCGGTCTTTTACTTTCCCAGTTCCCTTCACGACTCCAAGTTAGCGCACGACTCGTGATTCAGTTTGATGATTCCCATAATGTATTTCCTGTTCATCTCCTACGTTTTCTCTTATTTTCCTCTTCACATGGAAACTATATTGTTCTCTACCACAGTAGGTCATTGCTAAGCGTATCTGACCAACGGATCTGGAGTATATT